AGGTAAGAAAAATGAGGTCAGAGAGATTAAGTCACTTTTCTGAGGACAAAAACTAGGCAAATTGGCAAAGCCACGATTTCAATCCAGGCAGTCTGACACTATGCTACATAGCCCTGCTGCAGAAAGCTACTCTGGCTGGCTGGAAGATAAGGAAAAGACTTGAGGCTGAAGAAGTAGGCAGGCCAGTTTAGCTAGATAAACATTTGTGTCTTCAACCCTGTCTTTGCATAATCTTGACTTTTGGTTTGTCTTTCTATTCCAGGTCTCCAGATGATGAAGCTGTCACCAAAGGCATTCATCTCCTTGCAGCCAACTGCTCAGCAACCATAGCCCACATTCCCATGCCCTGCCTCTACTTGCTTTGAGATTATCTCTGTGTAGCCTCCAGGCCCTTCCCTGGAGATGAACGCAATGCCAGGGCCCTGGTGTGCCCCATGATGCCCCGAGCCTAGCTCCTTGGTACGCTTCGGCATGATGTTGATCAACTCCTCGGCAAACGCTTCTATCATCAGCTCTGATTTTCCGTGTCCTGACTACCAGACCACCCACCGCCTGCACATGGTGGTGTATAGCATAGTGCTGGCTGCAGGGCTCCCACTCAATGCACTGGCCCTCTGGGTCTTCCTGCGCGCATTGCGCGTGCACTCAGTAGTCAGCGTGTACATGTGCAACCTGGCAGCCAGCGACCTGCTATTCACCCTCTCGTTACCTGTGCGCCTCACCTACTACGCGCTGCACTACTGGCCCTTTCCGGACCTCCTGTGCCAGACGGCGGGCGCTATCTTCCAGATGAACCTGTACGGCAGCTGCATTTTCCTGACTCTCATCAACGTGGACCGCTACGCCGCGGTCGTGCATCCCTTGCGGCTGCGCCATCTGCGGCGGCCCCGCGTAGCGCGGCTGCTCTGCTTGGCCGTGTGGGCGCTTATCTTGGTGTTCACCGTGCCCACCATGCTCGTGCACAGGCCCTCGCCCTGCAGCTACCGCGGCATCCAGGTGCGCCTGTGCTTCGAGAGCTTCAGCGACGAGCTGTGGAAGGGCGGCCTGCTGCCGCTCGTGCTGCTGGCCGAAGGACTGGGCTTCTTGCTGCCCCTGGTAGCGGTGGTCTACTCGTCGGGCCGGGTCTTCTGGACCCTGGCGCGGCCCGACGCCACTCAGAGCCGGCGGCGGCGGAAGACGGTGCGGCTCCTGCTAGTCAACTTGGTCATCTTCCTGCTGTGCTTCGTGCCGTACAACACCACGCTGGCCGTCTACGGACTGCTGCGGAGCAACTTGGTGGTGGCGAGTCACGCGGCCCGCAATCAGGTGCGCGGGGTGCTGATGGTGATGGTGCTGCTGGCTGGCGCCAACTGTGTGCTGGACCCACTGGCGTACTACTTCAGCGCCGAGGGTTTTCGCAACACGCTGCGCGGCCTGGGCTCTCCGCTCCGGCCCAGGGCCTTGGCCACCAACGGGGATGGGGCGGCGCTCACCCAGACGCCCGCGGAGACCACTCACACCACTAGTCTGGCTGCCGCCAGCCAGGGACTGCTCGGGCACTCCACGCCCGGGACGCCCTTCACCCAGTGCCCCGGGGATTCTGCCCTCTAAACGCACATCGAGCCCTAGCTCGATCACCCCCACCCCCGACCCCTTCGCGCCTCTCACACTCACTGACTTTGAGAGTATCCGCATGAGAGAAGTGGATCGGACACTTGGACTTCTGAGTGGCAACTCCATTAATGCAGAAAAGAACAAAGTATGGGAGCAAGGGGCACAGGGAAGGAAGAGTGCTGGTGGAAATGTCTCTAAATTGGTGATGGTCAGCATAGGGAGGACCCCTTAGTCCGTCGGAAGTGATGCTATGAGCCTGTCAATGCAGAGGCGGAGGATTACTGAAATGCCCTTGACACGGAGCGGGTGTGTGTGGGAGGCGGAGTCTTGAAACACTGCCGACATAGATGGAACAGAAAATGGGTGTCCTGGATTTAGACAGACCACAGCAGTCTTAGAGACATAGATGCCACCCACTTTCATTTCCACCTGGTCTTCCCCTGCCCAGCACTGAGGCATAATACAAGAGTTTATTGGATACGGACAAAATCGGGATTCCTTCTTGTTTAGAGACTCGTAACAATTTAGACCTGACACCCAGCATGGGGTGGTTGGGGGCAGGGAAATCGGTGAGTTCAGTTTTTTCCCCAAAAACTTTTGGTCCCTGTTCCCCTTTTGAGGTCTTTTCAACCCCCTTTCAAGACCTCCTCCAGTCTAGGTCCTAAATTCTCCCCCCATCCATTGCTACATCTAGAATAAGGAAAAAATTCTTTGTACTAAAGTAGCAGTTCTCAAAACTTTTTGGTCTCAGACCCCTTTACACTGAAAAATTGAGGATTCTAAAGACCTTTTGCTTATGCTTTATTCTTTTGATAACATATTAGAAATTAAAACTAAGTTTTATAAAGAGAAATACACAAGCACACATTCCATTAGCTGTGAGAGCAATGATATCACATTTCATGAAGCCTCTGGAAAACTCTACTGTATACCTGTGAGACAATAAGAGTGAAAAAGACAATGACATCCCAATAGTGTTATGAAAACAGTTTTGACCTCGTGGACTCCTCAAACAGTGGGTCCCCAGAATGCACTTTGAGAACCATACCTATCCCAAAGTATTAGAGTTCCTGTGTAACTTCCCAGGGCATTATATACATTGTTTTTTTTTATTGCTATGGGAGAGAGCAATGCTCAATAAATCAATTGTTATAGTCCTTAAGGCTTGGGGTTGGGGGGGCGGACAGTAGGAGCTTGCACACCAAATGGAGCTCTGCCTTGGGCTTCCTCGAGCAGCAGCCCTAAAGTGGGGGTGGAACAAGTCACACAGTCAGGAGGAGAGGGTGGGACTTCTCCAGAGACGGAAAAGGAACTGTGCCACGGCCAGAAGAAGAATTTACAGGGAAGTTAGAGTGCTAGGGGAGGACAGGAATAGGCTGACTGTTCTTGGCAAGCTGGAGGCAAGGGAAATGAAAGACTGGTTTATGGGCCACCTACTGTTTCTTTCCCTCTTTACTGGAGTCGGGGGCTAGGAGGGATTGCAGAGTTTGCACTATGACATCTTGAGACACTGGCATTAGTGAAGGAGTTGTTGCCATGGGTGTGTCCTATATGCATTTCTGTCCCTGTTTCTCTCAATGCTGTATGTTTCTGTGTGTGTGTGTGTGTGTGTGTGTGTGTGTGTGTGTGTGTGTGTGTAACAGAATTTTCCTCTCTGTTTCTCCGTTTTTTAGTTTGGAGTCAGCCTTTTGTGTGCGTCTTTATGTGATGGTCCAGATCGTGATTTACAGGGGAAAAATGACCCCTGGTGGCCAAACCTGAGAACTGACCCAAATTCCTCAGCGATAGCCTTGAAGTCGGGGTCTTCCACCATCTGGCCAGAGGTTAGAGCCCTGGAATAGGTCCCTACCTCCTGCTGCTCTGGAAGAGGCCTGGTGGTTAGCACTTGTTCCATCTTGCTTCATCCTTAGGGTTCAGGACCCATGCCCTTCCAGCCTTGGAAGCACCAAACATTGTCCTAGTGTAAAGTCTCAGCACTTTGCCATATCCAAACTGAACACGATTTAAAAAAATTACTTGAGTATTTTTATATGCAGATATGTGAATGAATTCCAAAGTAATTAAAACTCACATAGCAAGTATCTTCTACATACTATATAATTTACTTATTTATTTATTATAATTTTTATAGTTTATCGTCTGTCTCCCCATCTCCCCAGGTAGAATGTAAGCTCCCTCCCTGGGGGCAGGGATTTTTGGTTGGTTCTCTGATGTATCCCCAGCAACTAGCATGGTGCTTGGCACAAAAGAAGTGCTCAATAAATATTTGTTGAATGATGAACAGTTGGATCTTGCTGTAAAGTAGTTTACTATCTAGTGGAGACCAAAGAGCAAGTCAACAATAATTATCCTTCAAGACAGAAGATGCAAGAATGCAAGGTAAGGTGTTGGTAGTTAATTTAGTGTGAACAATGGGAGCCCCCTGAAGGTTCTTGAGTGAGGTTTTGCCCACCCTGACATACTGTGCAGGATAAACTGCTGGAAATAAGGCGGGGAGAGTCTAAGGGGAAAGAAAGACTGGTCAAGAATCTATTAAAATAGTCCAGGAGAAGTGCGGCGGTGGAGGTGAATGGAAATAGGTTGTCTTCAGTGTGAAATCTCTGGTGTTTAAGCTCTGGTGGACTGTTTCCCCACATCAGTCTATCCCAAGAGTTTCCATCATGAGAACAGAGAGGCAAGAATAGATTAAGGAGATGTGGCAGACAGAGGAGGAATGAATAGAACCTGACATAACTGGCTGGGGAAATTTAATAAAACCTGTAGCCACCGCCATTTTCATAGGATTCCCCAATTACTGGGTGGGTAGTATGATGGATGAAGGTTGTGGGAATCACAGAGCCCCAACCCATGCCCTGGAGTTAACCGAGTTGAGGTTTAGGAAAATCCAAAAGAGGAAAATGAGAAAATCTTATATGGAGGGAGAAAAGCATTAACAAGTTTTTAAAATAATCTCTGTATGCCAAGATCTCAATTTAGTGCTTAAAATACATTATTTTATTTATTACAATAATCCTCTGAGTTAGGGATGATGCTTATTCCCATTTTACAGGTGAAATACCCTGCTGAGGTCTTAAGGTCTCACAACCAATTAGTGGCACAGTATCTCTTTGGCTCCCAAACTCCTGATATTTGCAATACATCCTACCATATCTCTTCTCCCTGGTTCTTCCCATCTTCTCATCCTTGCTTTCCTTTCTTCTCCTTCCCTCTTCATGTACATCACCTCTCTTGACTGCCCCTCTCACCTTGGATCTGCTGTACCATCTCTGTCCCCTTCCCCAGTTCTTCCTCTGTACACTAACCCACTCACCCTATAGCACACCTGCCCTTCCGTCTCCACTTTGCCTCAGGCCCCTGTGCGGAACACAGTGTGGCTGTGGCACACACAGGCAGGATGGCTCAGGCTTTGTGCAGTTGGCCAAAGCTCCCCTCCCTAAGCAGGGGTATACCCAACATTTCCTAGGCAGCACTCTTGATTGTTCAGCAACTGAACTGAAAAGGAGACCTCTCCTGAGTTCTCCTCAAAGTCTGTCTCCTCTGTAGGATGGTCCTGCCACATGGCGAGAGTAGTTGGAGGAAGAGTAACAATCGCCGGTCTTGAAATAAAATTCAGGAGAATCAGATCAGAGGTAAGGGATCCCAAAGGGGCAGAAATGCTTCTCTCTCAGCCCTGAATGGTCTGGAGGGAAATCTTAGCAGGTTGCTACCCAGAGTCCTGTGGAAGAAATGAGGAGGGGAAGTTAATCTCATCTTGGGCCTTGTTCTCCATTCTTTCAGAAGACCCTGGAGACAAGGGAGGCTGGGTAACTCTCAGCATGCTAATCTTTCCAGAGGACCACTGAAAGCACCAAGAAGTGAAGTTCTTCACACAGGTCTCAGTGATCCCAAAGGTTCTTTGAACTTGGGAATCAGACAAACCCAGGTACTCATTTCATCTCTGAAACTTCTTGGCAATGTGACTTTAGCAAGTTACTTAACCTCTCTGAGCCTGTTTCCTCCTTTGTGAAGTGGGGATCATAATACCTACTTACTGGGTTATTGTGAAGGTCAATGAGCTCACTTCTGAAAGGCACCTGAGAGGCATCCCTTAGGGGGAGCTCTCTTTCCGACGAGAGTGTGGGGGAGGAGGTGCCATTGGTAAAGTCTGTGATGCCCAAGGCGAGGGTTTCTGGAAGACAGCAAGGGTTCCAGGTGAATCCTCACCCAGACAGAGCTCTGCCATCAATCAGAACTAGGGTCAGGGGATGGGTGAGCAAGGCAGGCTGAGTAAGTTTCCACAGTGCTGGGTCAAGCCCAGTTTTCCGGGGCAGTGACTGGTCTGTTGCCCTCTGGGGGCACTCTCTCCCCACTGGACCAGCGGTCCACCCACAGGAGTGAGTGGAGAGTGCCTGAAAGGGAGAGGAGAAAGGGGCAAGGGATGAAGAACCAAGCAAAGGAGAAAGGGCAGGAGAGGAGGCTGGAGGGGAAGTCAGGGCCCAGGCAGGCACAGGGTGGGGCCAGGAGAGGGGCCCAGGGCAGGAGGGCGGGAGAGCGCCTGCAAGGGAGAGCGCCGAGGAGGGCGGAGGGAGGGACGGGGAGGGAGACCGGCGGCGCTGACACAGCCTCGATGTGTGGAACGGGCTGGTGTTTGGCCCACAGGTCAGGCGTCTGGCAGTATTATGGGATGGAGAGGCCTTAGGAGACAGGGAGAGTATTATGGGCTGGAACAGCCTTAGGAGACTGGGGACTATTATGGGCTGGTGAGGCCCGGCTCCAACTGGAGGCGGGAGGAAGGGGTGCGGGGCGGGAAGGGGAGGTGGTGGTGGAAGGGAATATTATGGGCTGGAGGCCTCCTGCGACCAGAGGCAAGAGTATTATGGGCTGGCAAGGCCTTCGGTGGCCAGAGGGGGGAGCAGCGGGGGATGGCACCGGCTGCATGTGACTGAGGGGGG